TGCGATCTCCGCCATCGCGGTGGAAGTGGCCGGCGGCAGCGAGAGCGGGGTGGAGGTGGATGGTAGCGGCGGCGGTGATGGAGATTGGGACATGATCGGTCTGGTGTCTCTGGATACCAAATTGGTAGGATCAAGTACTTTACCAGGTCTAGGGCGTAGGTGGTAAGGGAAGGATGGAGGGGGCCGTGGCGAGGAACGGGCGCGCCGGCGGCTGGGCGCCGTCGCGAGCTAGGAGAAGGGCGGCGGCTAGGGCTGTTGGCGGCTAGGGTTTCCGGCTCCTCAGGGAGCCGGGCAATAGGAGATAATATTCTTCTTATTGCTTGATCTGAAAAGAGTCTTACAACTTATATTTATAACCTAGATAACTTGCACACGAATTAACCTAAGATAACTTGTGGGCTAAGATTGCCCGATGGGCCTTCCATATGACAGGCCGGACATAACACCTAGGATCCGGTCAATATTAGCCATTGCTTTGGTCCATAGTTGTAATGTCAGATTCGCTATTTTTGTATGATAATTTTTGTTGGTATATGTTGACTAGTAGTGTACAACCCACCAATCAGAATGTTATTTCATCTCAGGCTATGGAGAAATTAGCCGTGAAATGTGGCGAGGGGCGCGGACGGGCTCTTATTAGGAGAATAATAGCGGTTTTGCAAACTGCAAAAATACTGGGACTCCCATTTTCTGAAGCATTTGAGAAACAGCCAATTGAACTTCTGCAGTTGCTTTCACTGAAAGCTCAGGATTCTTTTGATGAAGCTAAATTTCTGGTGGAGACACACATTATGCCTGCATCTAGCATTGCAAGAATTCTTGCTGATTCCTTTCTGAAGGTCTGCTCAGTGCACTTTGTTTTTGGTGAGGAAAACATGTATTATGTTAGATATCTTGACTGATACGTCCAATAATTGCAGGGGCTTTTAGCTGCACATCGTGGAGGTTATCTGGACTCCCAAAAAGAAGAAGGCCCTGCACCACTATTGTGGAGATCAAGTGACTTCTTGAAGTGGGCAAAACTATGCCCATCAGAACCAGAAATTGGCCACGCTTTAATGCGTTTGGTAATGACTGGGCATGAAGTACCGCATGCTTGTGAGGTTTGTGTGATCTGGTTTCAGTTTTTTAGTTTACTAGATGATACCCCGCATGTTGTTGCGGGAATGTTTTGCAATATAGTTCATTAAGATTTGGTTGTATGGAACATGAATATTTAGAGTAATAATTTGAAAACTAAAACTAAGAATACATATGATTTATTGTGTTTGATTATTGTGTATTTGTAAAGTTTTTATTAAATGTAAATAGCATAATTGATTGAAAATTATCATGCATGTTGACGTGTGGTTTTTCCTATGCATAGTTGCATGTTAAAGTGGGTCTTTTCCTATGCATGTTGCGTGCTGAGGTGGCATGCTTGCGTGTTGAGAGAAATAGATTAGTGGGGGTTATGGCTATTTAGATATAGAAGATTCAAACTTTGCAAGCATTCCTTCCATCCCCTGGACTGGCGGTAACTGGCCTAGAGAGGTGATGTAACAGAGTGATGTGTGGAGATGGTATGTCAGCTACACTGGGGGGTGCACACCGAGGTTTTTCATGGTTAACCTGTCCTCCAGCATCTTGGGTGTTAGGATAGTCTGGTGGGGCTGGCGAACAATACTAACTGTATGTGTGTGTGACAATGAGTTGTATATGGGAGGTAGTTTGGCAGTGGGGTGTTGAGCTGCCAACACCAGGCAGATGTGTTGGAGGGCATTGACGTACTGATAATGCAGCCAGACAGGCTGGTGAGTGCTGCTGGTGCCTGCAACTTTGACGGGGATGGGGCACAGAGACAAGTGAAGGAGGTGTGTCTGCTGGATGATGGTGTTTGTGTTGTGGAGTGATGTGGAGATGAAACTGGAATGTGGTTTCTGCCATCTAATGGTGTTCTGCTTTCATGCCATTTTTTGAACATTTGTAGTTAAAGATTAGAGATGATGAGGTTTAAGCGGTGAGCTAGGGCTTTGAAGACTGGGACTGGGTGTCAGAAAAACTGCAACCGTCCAGTTCTGGTTTCTGGGCCGGTAACCGGTGGTTTTCTAAGCTTTGTCTGTACCCATTCTCTCGTGATTGAGCTAATATGTTGGAAGTGAAGAACCTTATTCAAATGACATTTGCAGTGTCAAGCTATACCTTTTATATGAGCTGTGCATTGTATTTATTTCAGTATTTTTAATGTTCAGGTTTGGTTTGAGAATTTGCTGATTTCTTGCTGTTCTTTACCGTCTCTAAGTCCATGCCAAATGTTGTTGCAGGTTGAACTCCTTATACTGTCACATCACTTCTACATGTCATCTTCTTGTCTTGATGGTGTGGATGTTCTCGTCACATTTGCAGCCAACAGAGTGGATTCATATGTTTCAGAGGGGGATTTTTCTTGCTTAGCTCGCTTGATAACTGGAGTGAGCAATTTTCACTCCTTGAGCTTCATCCTTTCCATCCTTATAGAAAATGGCCAATTGGAGTTGCTACTTCAAAAGTATTCTTCCACTGACACAGCCACAGTGGCACCTGCATCAGTTCGAGGGTTTAGGTTGGCTGTTATTACATCACTGAAACATTTCAACCCAAATGATGATGAGGCTCTGTCTCTGGTATATGTCCTCTCTCTCTCTCTCTCTCTCTCTCTCTCTGTAAATGTAGAATGGGAGTAGATTTAGGTGCAAAGACATGTTTAGCACATTCCGTAAAAAAAACTTTGTTAACCACATAAACACTTCTGGGTATCATTGTGTTTTGTGTTAATTATTTTGTAAAGAATAGATGGAAAATCGAACATAAGAAAGTTAACCCAATATATACAAATGTTGAGCAAACCCTTTTTCAGGATCTAGATCTATTGCTTTGCTGAAGCATAAAATCTGTTGATTAGCAGCCTATCATGGCAGCTTCTCATTAGTACGAGGCGGAAATGAAATCTGTTGATTAGCAGCATGCCATGCCAGTTTTTAATTAGTATGGAACAGAAATGTACTGAGCAGTAGTAGCTTGTTTGGGGGCCAGAACCATCTGTGCAACTACATGAAGAACAAAAAATATACAAGAATTTGTGATTTTGGTTTCCATCATACTTGCGGTGTTTCCTTACAACTTGGCTGTCGTCATTACGAGATAAGTCTTTCTGCTGTTTCGTTATGCCCCCTTCAACATATGTGTCTGATGCAGGTATACAAGCACTTTGACATGAAACATGAGGCGGCTTCCCTCCTTGAGTCGCGTGCAGAGCAGTACATGGAAAGCTGGTTAGATCGGCATGATAAGGAACGACGGAATGATGAGCTCCTTAAGGCTATGCATAACCTTGTACAGACTGCTGAGATTCTTTCAACAATTGACGCTGGCCAAAGGACACATCGTGCTTGCGCTCGTGCTTCTCTCCTATCTCTTCAGATCCGAATACCTGATCTTGTATGGATTGGTCTTACAGAAACCAACGCACGCCGGATTTTTGTGGATCAATCTAGGTTCCAGGAGGCCCTCATTGTTGCCGAAGCATACAGCATAAATCAGCCAATGGAATGGGCCCCAGTCTTCTGGAACCAGATGCTGAAACCTGACCTCATCGAGCTATTTGTGGCTGAATTTGTACTAGTTCTGCCCCTGCACCCACCAATGCTCGTGGAGCTTGCGAGATTTTACCGGGCAGAGGTTGCAGCCAGGGGCGACCAGTCGCACTTCTCAGTCTGGCTTTCACCTGGAGGCTTGCCTGCTGAGTGGGGAAAGCATCTCGGCAGATCATTCAGGAGTCTGCTGCGTCGAACAAGGGATATGAGGCTGAGGCTGCAGTTGGCAACTCTGGCAACTGGGTTCAGCGATGTCCTTGAGGGCTGCAATGCGGTTCTGGACAAGGTCCCTGAGAACGCTGGGCCGCTGATACTGAGGAAGGGCCATGGGGGTGCATACCTCCCTCTCATGTAAATCATCTCTTCTTTTTGTCTCCAAAAGGTGGATAAATCTTACAGGAGTGTATAGCACAACGGCAAATGTTTCATGCTTTCTTTGGCCCAGTCGCCCGGCAACCATTTTCCCTCTTCCTCTGAATTCTGTGACGTGGATGGGGCCACTGGGGCTTCCGGTTTGTATATAAAGCATTTTGAGCCTATAGGTTGGACACACCGCCAATTGGAAGTCAATTTTGCAGCCTATTCGGCAGAGACGATTTTCCTGGCATGGCTGGTGACGCCGTTTCTCCATCCATGGACAGACGATGTTTGTAATGTATGCTACATTGTACTCCCTCCGTAAACTAATATAAGAGCGTTTAGATCACTACTTTAGTAATCTAAACGCTCTTATATTAATTTACAGAGGGAGTATATTTGTATATCAATCCAAACTATGCAATTTTCTGGATTTTGATATGTGGTTTGCGCCTTTTCCAGTCTCCATGCAGGGTTTTTCTAAGCATGTTCGTTTGTTGCCGGGTGAAGTTTTGTACTACTGTTTCTTTTTTACTTCATGTATAAGGTTTGCTTGAAGTTGAGCTACGCAAAGTTTGACCAAATCTATATAGAAAAATATCAATATCCAAAATACTGAAGTTATATAGTATGAAAATTATGATGCATCCAAAGATATTGATTTCATATTGTGAATGTTGATATTTATTTCTATAAAGTTGGTCAAACTATACTAAATTTGACTTGAGATGTATGAAGGCTAAAAAGAAACGGATGGAATATATTTTTGAGGCGCTGTCCTGCAACCGTCAGATTACGGGATGCTTGTGATGATCACAGCCAGCGGCCGTAAGGATTTGCTTGGTGCTGATCCAGGCGTGTCTTGCTCCTCAGGAGCGACCGGACCGCATGTGCTTAGGTACTGACGTGACCAGTAAGAAAGTGATCCACTATCCGGTACCGACAAGAAATTTGTCTGTCTCCAACCGAACACTTCACGGGCAGAATCTTCGCCATCTATTTCAGCTGCTAGCTCGTTCACTAGTTGGATGGATGGTCGCCGGCGGCCAGAGGCCCTCTCCGGCAATGTCTCAAGCCTTGCGGCCGCGCTGGTCGGTGTTGTGGCCTTCTCGTCTGCGGGTGATCCGCCAGGCACGTCCCGGCACTGCCGCCGTCTCCTTCAACAACCGATGCAATGGTACTGAGCCCTCCTCATCTACTCTGCTCTTATCGCATTTAGGTTCTTTGCTGGCTCTTTGATTGCTAGTTCCTGTGCGGAGCGATGTAAAGCCAACGTGAGAGAGACGATGGCAGCGTGGATATGATTGCTTTCTCAATCTAAATCTTTCTTGAGCCAGTTCTTAAAATACAATTTTAAACATGAACTATCTTTTTAAACGAAGGGAAAATGGGAAGTAGGAACTCTCGTTTTTACTCCATACTAGCAATGTGCCCGTGCGTTGCAACGGATCCAAAATAGAATGATACTTGATCACAAACTCGAAAGAAAACACTCTAGTTTTGATGTACATATATCACTAAAAATATACTATGTTTCACTCAAAATATATTTCTTAGGCTATTTTGATGACGCGAGGGAGGGATGTGGTTGGTTTTAAGATACTAATGGGTTTTCCACAAATTGGAGAAAAGAAGTGAATTATCTCTACTACTTAAAAAGAACGTAAGGTTCCATTTCACCTTTCTCTTCACCACCCTTTCGTCTAATCTTTCATTTATATGACAATCAATCACCTTAATTTACTTACCTTTTGAACCAATTTCACTTTAATTTACTTACCAAACTTCTAATCAAAATATAAGGTAATTCACGGTCATGATTTGATGAACATTTATTTACAAAATCACATTATTATTGATAGGTAAATCACAAGCTAACGTACTACAATATTTATATCCCGTTGCAACGCACGTGCATTATTCTAGTTGTTGTAAAAAGGTCACAGCTTACATTATAGCCGTTAGATGTAGATTTAATGGTCAGAAATGATGAATGGTAGACACACCATCATCACCAACTGAATAGGAGTAGAGATAATGCTACCTTATATCTAGAGCTTAGATTTTGGACACCAATAACGCGAGGTTGACGTTCCCCCAAGGGGAGGTCACCTGAGCGAATGATCGGGCATTTCTTACATGAATCTCTCTTTTTTACGGGTGATTCTTACAGGAATCTTGTTTGAGTGAACAACGCCATCAGAGAGTGTTCCCTAAAAACCACTCCCAAAGAACACTTAGGAATTGTCATGGTATAACAAATATATTTGTCATACTATTACAGAAAGATTTGTCATGTTTTTTTTGTCATGCTAGCCAAAGAATTATCAGGAATTTGCCTGTAGTAGAGTAAATTGCCATGCAATTTAGGAATTTGCCATGATGCAGCAGAAAGAACTACCAGGCTAAAGAAAAAGGAAAATTTGCCAACACGTTCGAGAATTTGCTATGCCGCAATAGACCGAATTTCCATGCTATGCAAAGAAATTGCCATACATGCTTCTAATTAATTGCCATTCTACATCATGGAGTCTCGTTCCTTGTGGATGGTGTATGGGAGCGAACGTTTGCGTCATTCCTCGGTTTAGTCTTCGGTCACCTTGTATGAATCTTATATTAAAGCGTTGATACGGGTTCAGTCTTCGGTTTTCATGCACAGGTTCACTCATCGATCTTGTCCCCGCAAAGCGTCTGAAATCCTCTGTTTCAGCTAGTTATCATAGCATGCCGGGCTATAGGGTAGCTCAGCGTGCAACATATCTAGGTCCCAATGTTTAACTCTATTGGTGGTAGTGATGATTGATGGCCCAAGGGGTCGATGTTTATTCGGCGGGAGATGGTGGTGGTGGTCGTATCTAACTTGTCCCTGTCATCACAAGCGGGTGGTTAGCGATGCATAGTCGAGTGAAAACCTTGCCTCCAATTGATGGCAATGACGCCCATAGGTGTTGTTTTTTTTTTTGAATGCATCGTTGGGATCTTAGAACAAGGTTAATAGTATAGATAATAACCGGCTAATGAAGTTATCATGTTACTTATAGCCATATTAGCTCATTCATACTATAGTTAGTTATATATACATGTTATTATGTTATTAATGTGTGGGCCATCTTTTTCTCTCATAAGGGATGCTAGAACCCATAAAGCTGACTGTAAATTTATAACCTGTTTTTCTTCTCTTCCCTCTAACCAAACAAAAATTTAATATGATACTCTTATAGATTACCTATATCACCGTGCTATATTTTTAGTATGTATATATCGTAAGAACTGAACGCATATCATTGAAAAGTATAAAATAAATTAAAAAATATGCGAACACTAGCATCAAGTCTAGCACTTAAATCTTGATGAGCTGATAGTACTAGTACCACTGCGGTGTTCATGGGTGAGTAGCGTTCGCGTCCGTACTGTGTAAAGTAAACTCGTATCTCTATCCCTCCCACGTGTCCACGAGACGCGCAACGTAGCAGCCGACGTGGCTCCTCGTGCAATTATTAACTTTTCCCTGGAAGCTTCTCCTGCCAGCTGCCACTTCTTTTCCCCAGCAACAATCCCGATTCCGATCCGATCCGATCCCACGGCCATTCCAACCCCTAATACCCCACACCAATCCTCTCCCCCATCAAACAGCTCTCGCGAACTCAACGGGAAACGACTCACGCCCCCCTCCCATCCGACCCCCGCAGATCGCCCCCGCCGCCGCGCGCCGCCGCTGACGCCAATGGCCGCCGCCGCCGCCGACGCCGGGCCCGAGCTGCGGCGGAGCTCCAGCATCGACCGCATCCCGGCGGAGGCGCGCCGCATCCTGCACCGCCTCGCCGGCGAGCTCTGGGGCGCCGACGTCGACCCCGCGGCCCTCGTCGTGTCCCAGCTCAAGGGCGCCCTCACCAACGAGGTCTTCCGCATCACCTGGCCCGGCGGCGAGGGCGACCCGCGCAAGGTGCTCGTGCGCATCTACGGCCAGGGCGTCGAGGTCTTCTTCGACCGCGCCGACGAGGTCCGCACCTTCGAGTGCATGTCCCGCCACGGCCAGGGCCCCCGCCTCCTCGGCCGCTTCCCCCAGGGCCGCGTCGAGGAGTTCATCAACGCCAGGGTACGTACGCAACGCAATGGCTTTGCTGCTCCTTGCTCCTACTGTAATGCCATTTCTCCTTCTGATGTGGCTGGCGTTGTTGTCTGCTCAGACGCTCTCGGCGCCGGATCTGCGCGACCCGGAGATTTCCGGCCTGATTGCCAGGAAGCTGCGGGAGTTTCACGAGCTCGACATGCCTGGACCCAAGGACATCTCGCTCTGGCAGAGGCTGAGGTAGGCCTGGTGAATCGCGACTCCTTATTCTATGGGTGGCAGATGTGCGTATTGCGACCAGAAGCTAACAGCAGGGCATTGTATGATTCAGGCGGTGGCTTGAGGAAGCTCGCAGCAGGTGCTCGACCGAGGAGGCCAGGGAATTGCGGTTGGAGACGCTCGGCGATGAGATTGCGGAGCTGGAGAATGTATTGTCCGGGGTCGATCAGAGAGTAGTATTTTGCCATAATGATTTGCAGTATGGGAACATTATGATATACGAAGAGACCAGACAAGTGACCTTAATTGTAAGTAGTTGTTACAAACCTGACCTTGTTTATATGGATACTAACATATATTTGTGAATGCTTATTTAAAGATAGACTAGCGCCTGGTTGCATATTTAGAAGAGCACAAAAGAAAAATTCTCAATTATGGTTATAGTCAATACTGCTTACCAATGAATATTTGTCAATCCTTATTTAAGCATAAACTAGCACCTGGTTGCATATTTAGAAGAGCACAAAATAAAAATTCTCAATTATTGATGGTCGACTCGTAATTTTTCTTTGTGCTGCTTAGTGATTCTAGGAACATCGACAGTTTGGTTTGCCTGTTTATTTTCTATAGCTGATTGCACTTTTGTTAATCTCTCTATCCTTCAGGACTATGAATACGCTAGTTTTAACCCTATTGCGTTCGACATTGCGAATCACTTCTGTGAGATGGCTGCTGATTATCATAGTGATACACCGCACGTGATGGACTTCACAAAATATCCTGGTTAGTTTTTCAATAACCAAATGTACCAAATTATATAATAATGGATGGCTATGTGTCTCACACCTTTTTAATCACATGTTGATTACTTGTTTGATTCCCCTGCATAATTTCAGACATGGATGAACAGCGGAGATTTCTTGAGGCTTACCTTAGTTCTTCAGGTAATTGGAGAGTTCTTTGGGAACACCACACTCTGCTGTGCTGGAAATGTGATGAATACTTCAGAATGCACGATTGCACGTTAAAACTACTTTAATGCATCACTCAAATGTGCTGTTCCTAAATGCTTCCTTTGTTTGTCAGGAGAAAACCCATCCGATGTAGAAGTCGAAACATTGCTTGGCTTGATTGCAAAGTACAGTCTCACAAGCCATCTCTTCTGGGGTCTCTGGGGAATAGTCTCGGTAAGCTCCACAACAAAAGGCAATTGCAATGTATCTACTCAGTGTTAATAATCAATCTATCAAAGCTGACTGTTATTTTTCGGTTCTTCCTCTATCTCTGCAGGCGCATGTGAACAAGAACATCGACTTTGAGTACAAGGAGTACGCGAGGCATCGGTTCGACCAGTACTGGGACACGAAGCCGAGAATACTGCAAGCCTGCAACACAACCAGCTGATCATGCGGATGGCTCGTTCTTTTTCTTATAGCATCCATCGCCCTCTCGAGTAGCTTTGTGGAGTCCTGTGACTGTGAATCTTGTTCATCAGCCAATTTGGCTACAGATCGTTTAGGCTAGTAGTTGACCGTGTCGTGTAATTAAACCTGCGCAGAATAGTCGATTCTACGGTTTTACACAAGCTTCTTTCCGTGTCGCCTGTTACATCGTTCATGTCCGCAAGAATCTCTTGGAGTTGCATTGCTCATGCAGATATTGTGCTGTGAACCCTGAAACCATGCAAGGACCAGATTGTCCAAAGGATGCCGCATCTGCCCTTTCTCACCGGATGCGTATGTGTTTGCCGTGCTGCATACTGTCATCAGTGGTGCGTGAAGCTGCTGCAGGCAGAAAACGTTGATGCCTTGCTTCACCGTTGGCCTGTTCTTTTTCCTGACGTGTCGCACTTGCCGGCGATCTAGTACAGCCCATGTTAAGACGGAAGCTGCTGTAGCAGGCTGTGGCCTCAGCTCGAAATGTTTCATCAGTGCGTAAAGAGACAATGAGTCACGAGGCATAAAAACTGAGCAAAAAAATGCACCAGCCGGGAATCGAACCCGGGTCTGTACCGTGGCAGGGTACTATTCTACCACTAGACCACTGGTGCTGATGATTTTATCATTTGTTGAGCGAATTCACATGGATCTTCGCACCCTCACAAAAAATCACAGGTGATTTGCAAAAATGCGACTGTGTTTTCTTCTTCGGAGTAAATTGTATTCTGGTAACTCTCCACTTGAGTGGCCGTACAAATGAGAGGTATGTGTAGTTTTTTCTCATAGTCCTCTATAGGGGCAACAGCGGCAGCCTGCGCAAACAAGGCTCGCGAGAGGGTGCGATGTGGTGCAACCACATGGCACGACCGCCGTGTTGATCGTGTCACAGTACACTCGCATGAGCACGACAAGCTAGTTCCGTTTGACCTGGTTGATTTTGCGCATTTTCACCCTGATCGGCGTTGCTTCTGACCATCGAACACCTGCTACGTGTTACCACTGCCAAATTTTGTATTCTGAACTGCTAGTAGTACTAATCGGAGGCAAAATTCATAGTAATTCCTCATGAACCACCGCCCTGTTTTTCTTGAACGATCTGCAGAGGAGAGCCTGGACGCCGCGCCGTACAAGCTGCGGCGGAGGAACTCGGAGACGATGCGCGCGCAGTACATCAACACCAAGGAGGCAAGGAGCTCAGGTACGATCGAATTGTTCGGCACGATCGCGGCGCATTTTCCGTTTCTCGCGGTGGCATGGCGCTGAGCTGATGGATTCCTGCAGGATCTGCATTGGCACGTACAACGCCGCCTGCAAGGAGCCGCCGGAAGGCTTGGACATTGCCGAGTGGCTCGGCACCACCGGCGGCGAGCAGGCCGACATGTACGTGCTCCGGTTCCAGGAGGTGGTGCCGCTCAACACCGGCAACGTGTTCGGCGCCGAGGACGTCCGGCCGGCACTGGCGTGGGAGGCGCTCATCCGTGACACGCTCACGCGGACGCAGCCGTCCTGCTCTGCTCGAGGCCCAAGTACAGGTACCGCAGCCACCCGGCCACTACGACCCGCGACGGCTCCGACGAGTTGTTCCCCGGCGGCACCGACACCGAAACCGACGACGACGCGCCCTTCAGCTTCCCGGTGCACCCCGAGGGGTACGTCGTCGCCACCCCCAGGATGCTCGGGGCCATGGAGGACCCGGTGGACGAGCAGCCAAGCGCGCAGCAGAGGGCGCTCCTGTAGACGATGAGCAAGACGGACAGGATCGGGCTCGCCTGGCCGGAGCAGCCGCTGGACCTGATGGCCACCGCGTCCTTGTCATCGGCGTCGTTCAAGTCGCCGAGATCGTTCGGCGCGCACAGGTCGTTCATGAAGTCCAGGGCCGCCACCGACGACGGTCCGGCCATGGTCCTCGACCTGGACCTGGACCTCGACCTCGACGGCGAGGCCGCGCGTGGTCATGGCAAGAAGAAGGGCGGCGGCAGCTCGCCGTTCGTGAGGATCGTGAGCAAGCAGATGACGGGCATCTTCCTGACCATCGGGGTGCGGCGCGGCCTGCGGAGGTGCGTCCAGAACATCAAGGTGTCCACCGTGGGCGTGGACGCCATGGGCTACATCGGCAACAAGGGGTCGGTGTCGGCGAGCATGTCCATCTACCAGACCATGTTCTGCTTCGTGTGCACCCACCTGCCCGCCGGCGAGCGGCCCGGCAACCTCCTCAAGCGGAACGCCGACGTGCAGGAGATCCACCGGCGGACGCGCTTCGCGGGGCCCGGCGGTGCCGAACACGCCATGGATGACATGCACCGGCTGAAGCCTTTGAATACAGTAGGTAGTTTTCAGTTGCTTGGACAGATCTTGGACCGGATGGTGTCGTGTGGGTGATGCTCCACTTCGACGAAACATGTGTCACTGGCATTAGTAGGTCTGGTTATCGCTCCTTAATCATTGGCAGATCGATGAATTTATGGAGTAGAATTTTTCTTCTTCTTCACCTCTGAATGAATCCCCTATCAGTTTGATCAGACAGTGTGCTGTTTGATTTACACATAAAAACGCACGCACAATAAAAAACTTGCACCAGCCGGGAATGGAACCCAGGTCTATACCGTGGTGCTTCTGACGTTAACAAATTTTAGAACGGAGATCCAACTACAGGTTGTGACAAAAATGATACTAACTTCACCTAGAATTCACTCTGCAGCAACAGCAGCAACGCAGTGGCCCTGGCAGCAGCAGGAACAGGGGAAGCTTCACTCTGCAGCGCGGACAGACGTATGAGGAACAACGGCGAGCCTGTAGTAGAGAGACGGCCAGGAATTTCTCTGGAGAAGCCGGAACAGACGGGATTCTTCCAAATAGCACGCGGCGGTCGAGGCAATGAACCAAAGCAGGGACTGTACTGTACGTGGCAACAAACCAGGATGAGCAACGCACAACCAACAGGAAACGTGGAGGCATAGGATAGGAAATCACAGCGTCTGCGCGAGCGACCAGACAGTGCGTCTGCTGGGTCGCGCCGCTGGAGTGGGCGATCATGCATACATCCATCCATTCCTGGATATAAGCCTTTATTAGAGATTCCAATATGAAGTACTCCCTCTGTAAACTAATATAAGAGCGTTTAGATTACTAAAGTAATGTTCTAAACGCTCTTATATTAGTTTACGGAGGGAGTACAAACGGAGCAAAAATGAAAAATGAGTGAATCTACACTCTAAAATACGCCTATATACATCTGCATGTAGTTCATATTGAGATCTCTAAAAAGAGAGATATTTAGGAACACAGCAGCTATGTATCGATCAATGCATCACCAAGTGATCAGACAGCCATGTTTTCCGGCTGGGCGATCTGACTATGGGGATGGTCAGACAGTGCAGCTCGAAAGACAGGTATGTTCAGACAGTGTGCTGCTTGGTTCAACACAAAACACAAAGCAAAGTGGAACACAGGCATAAAGTGTTGGGGCAGAAATAGTCAACAAAAGATTCACCAGCCAGGAATATATGTTCTTCCCCTTGAGTTGCTCTGTCTACCGATACCACATCCATAGCACCACTACAACATGCCACGACTCACAAAATAAAAAGCTACAAAGGCCACAGGTCTATTCCATGTCAAACTACTCTCTGAACCTACACTAGGTCATCAGCCAATGTACTTCTTGTCCATCAGCCACCATCAGCATCGAACCCCACCTCTCTTCGGCATCACTCATCATCCATATCTCTCAAGTGACGGTAGTGTGCCATGATCGGCCGAAGGCTGTTGCACATCAAAAAAAGAAGAGTTAACAAGTGATGCAGCACACTAGTTATTTATAGATGCCAACTAATACTACTTTGCTCCTGCTATTATCACAAGAGACTGATGAACAAAATCTCTGAAAGGTTTACTTACAATTTCTTCATCTTCATTGACGGACCACTGAACAGATCAGTGAATATCTCTCCAAGAACATCGTTGTTTTTTGATGAGTACGCCTCCGCCTGAAACATGCCACTTAGCGGCCTTGTACCAGCTTTAGCAGCCAAGTGGCTGTGCAAATGCACATCCAAATGGCGTTTGAAGGCTAGCTTTCCTTTCTTGTTTCGCTTGAACTTAGTTTTCTCAGTCACTGCACTAGACCTTACCCCCGTGGAGCTTGAGCTGTCCTGCCTTGTGCTCTCTTGGAGCTCAGCGAACCTCGTGTTCTCCTGGAGCACAGTGGCACTTGTGATCTGCACCTCAGTGTTGCTCGTGTCCTCCTGAACTGGACCAATGCTCTTGTCCAAAATCTGTTGGATAGCTCTGGGATCGTGCTTATAGACTGCCTTTAGCAACTCATCCTGTGAATTTGACTCGGTGTAGTCGTCCCTCCAATCAACATTACCAGCCGGCACTGACTCAAACACGGAGATATAATCACGGAATTCGTTGGCTGGAATCCGGACACTTTCTATAGCCTTGTGCAGCTTCTCAGTAAGATACTCGTTTGCCGCAAATGGCATGAGTGCAACGTGATAAGGGAGATACTGCACCACTGAGCTCACATCAATGGTGGTAGCGTCCAAGAGAGATATATCGTCATCCAGGCATTTGAAGTGCGGAGGGAAGTGTCCGGCAAGTTCATACTTCACAGACATGATTTCGTGCAGCTTTTTGATGTCCAAGACCCTATTTTCAGGAGAGCAAACAAGGGTTTCTCCACTTGGTCGGATCAGGCACAAGATACTTGTGCGGCTGAACAGAATGATATAAATATCTTTTGCTTCAAACTGCCCTCCCCAGGTTTTTCCAGCAAGATTCTGCTTAAGCACATGCTCCTCGGCGCTGATATAAATCTGCCTGCCAATAAACCTGGCTGTCACCAGATGATTTTCCTGTCCAAAGGGCGAAGCATCTCCTTGAACCAGGTCTAAAGCATCATACTGAGCGAAGGACTTCATGGACACGGGCAAATTTTCAAAGTCCAAGAAAACGGATTGCAGTTCATTCCTATCCAGCAGACGCGGTGTCCTGAGAAAATTTATTGCTGTCCCTAATAACCATGCATTGCTGTTACAAGAAAGAACATACACAGGTTAAATATGATCATCATCAACAGTCAATTAGGGATCAACATTGCTTGTCCGAAAATGTTCCAGTGCTCGAGCAATCTCTGTCACCTCTAGCAAATATTTCTCAAGTCAAAAAGCAAGAACAGAGAAACTATTCAAAGCAAGCCTAATTTTGTTTACACATGCTAAAAAACGCAGAAACCATGTGTCCTTTTCAGTAGGGTGCAGAAGTAATGGAAGCATGCAATCCTACAATAGTGAATTACAAAACAAAGGTTGAAGTGTTGCTCACCCACGGCAAGCATCGTTTTCCTTCACAATCTTTACTGCCAGGTCAATGTATCCTTCATCAAGAACGTGATTGAAATCAACTACGAAGTCGAAATCGTTGCTCGGAACCATTTGCAACGCTCTACGTCCATAGAAACTGATGCAGCCTTTCATCTTGTAACTGCAAAAACCAAGTTGTTTTTATTAGAGACATCACCCAATTCCTGTGGATATACCTTACAGACTGCAATCAGGATGCATATATTGCTGGAATTTCAATCGAACTTACGTTTGAAGCAAGTGGGCAAATTCCTTCAGCAGCATGTTGGTCTCAGCTTTCAGCTCTGCGCTGCCTTCAGCGGCGAGCTCTTCCAAGAGGTCGTCACGGGCCTTCAGACGAGCCAGCTCAGCAGCCGCGGCCTTCAGACAAGCCAGCTCAGACGGAGAGCCACTCACATCCATCACTTGTTCACGGGGTAGCAGACGGTCAGACTCGGGAGGATGTGCAGCCGCATGGAAATTCTGCTTGTGTGATGAAGCGGCAGGCGAAGCCCCAAGGAGGGGGAATTCCTCTTTACTCTTGTAATTCGGACGCCGAGTCTGCGGAGTAGGATCAGCAGTGCGAGCGCGAGTTTGAGCAACCGCAGACTGACCTTGAGGATATGCACTTTCCACCTCAATATGGAATTTCCCCAGAGACAGAGTCTTCCCTTTCTTCTTCTTGTCCCGCTACCGCCGCTTGTGGCAGAGGAGGTAGAGGAGCTCGAGTCGCCGGATTTGTTGGAGTTGCTCCGCTGTGCGCCTTCTCCGGAGCCCGTCATTCCTCCTGAACTAGCCATGGAGAGTGGGGTTGCGGGTTGGTGGCGACGGGGAGGTGGCGGCGGGTGGCTGGCGCTGGGCAAAGAGAGCGGCGGCGGGGATGGTGCCGGCGGGTGGCTGGCGCTGGGCAAAGAGAGTGGCGGCGGAGGCGCTACTGTGTGTCTCGGGGGGCGGGGCTTCGAGCAACTAGGGTTATCCACCATCCACCGCGCCATCTGACCGTCCGTTCCAGGACGAACGGACGGCGGCCCTCCAAACTCTCACCGGGCCGGGATCATAAAATGGGCCCGCGGCCCGCTCTCTCTATGGCCTCTCTCTCACCCAATATCTAGCCACCCCCTCAAAAAAAAATAAAAAAATCCAGCCGCCGCTGGGAGCTCGCCTCCATTCCCCACTTCCTCTCGTCTAGGATTTCCTTTCCCATTTCCCCTCTCTGATTTTCTTCTTTGCTTCGGCATAATCGGATTGAGATTTGCAGGTGTTCGAGGCGGCCCTGGGGTTCTCTGCAGACGATCGAGGCGGCGCTCATCACCAATAACGCATTGCCCTTTTGAACCTTTTCATTGCCCTCATAATCTTTGTGCTGAGTTTGCGTGCAAGAATACTGCTGACCTGATTTGGTTCGGCCAACAGTGCGACTGATTGCTTGTGCAGAGATCAGATGCATAGTGCCATGTCCAAACAGTAAATAGCTTTGGAGTGCTTACTATATGCTGTGTTTTAACTTTTTTTATGCTGTCTGTTAACTTTTTAATCACTTGATCTCTAAAAAAAGATTTTGTATTTATTACCCTTCTAATTTTTGTTTTTCATCACCGTATACTGATTGCTACTGTGCATATTAGGTAGTATTCATGTTAATGTTTATGAGACAAAGGTGGCCCCATTGGTTTCATCTTCTTGTTATAAATGTGTGTTTGAGACTTTGGAGTTGTGCACAATCGCCAATATGTATGTAAAGAGCTGAAAACAGTATCTTATTGACTGATTATACGTCTTTCACCAAGTCATCAAGATGTCCGTCTACCTACTACTACCTCCGTCCCAAGTTATAATTTGGAACAGAGGAAATACCTTACTGTCTTTTATGTACTGCAAGTTTCATACCTGCCATTCCAGAAAATATGTTGCCCAGTGAAGATCTTCTACCAACTATATGTCTATAATGTCTGTGTCTAATACATTGCCTACGCATCTGCAGAAAGCAACTTTATGCCCCTACACCTATTTTAGTTTGGTACTTTTTGCTTCTGACATAGTGAAGTATCAACTCTTTTTTTTGTTGTGCAATGCCATGTTTGTCCGTGATGTTGTTCGCTAACTAATAGTGTCAAATGTATCAGGGAATACAACCAGTTAACAAAAAACTCAATGCTGATGATGGACGGGTAATATCAACTGCCAAGAAACTATCCAACTGGTGATCATCGGTATGTTGCTACTACATATTGCTTGGCCTTTTTTTACTAATGTAAATACAATAGACTAGCTTGGGCATTCCTAAGTTTTGGTTTCAGGTTGCTGAAGGCCTGAAGGGGCAAACCCGTTCATAAAAAAAATCCTGGGTATGCATCACCTGTGTGTTTCATACTGTTTATTGATTTTTTTTCATCACTATAACCCTTTTATCGGTGCAGTAAGGAAATTGAGATGTTTAAGGAGCAGGATCCAATAAACCATTTTACTCAAAACACATGTTATCACAAGTATTGTGAGTGTTGTACACATGTTAGATTGATATAAAATAATATCTGTATTCAGAAAAATGATGCAGTATGGTACGTAAATGATGAAATGAAGAAAGGAGTTAATATTGGCAACTTCAGGAAAGACAAGTTAGGGAGCGCTGGCGATGGGACTAAATACTGGTCAGTATTCCTCTTTCCTTTTCATTACATTTTTCATGATCTATCATCTTTGGCCACTTATATACTCATTTAAGTTTTTCAGTATTACTATAACAGTAAGTTTCCACAGAAAGGTCTTGTAACCCTAATGGGCAGGAAGCCTAATATGCCTGCGTTCCATAAATTTTAAATCCTTTCATGCACATGTCAGACACGAGGAAGAGGTGGGCTGATGGTAACTTAAATAGTCCTTACTCCTTATTGGCTCAAGCTCACTTCTTAAAGCCGTTTCTGCATATTCCAAAATTGCAATTGCAACTTCCAAAACAGAAGTTGATGCGATCTTTGATATTCATGGCTTGACTCAATATTATTAAGTTGTCGAGTAAATGCTGTCATTTTGTCCGGGTGCTCTAAGGTGGACGACTGGGAGTGATGCCCAGGATTTTTCAGTTAGGCGGGTTCCCAGAAA